CTCCCCCAAGAAAGTGTTCATATAGGCGCACTCTTGTATATAATTACATCTATTCCTAGACTCTTTTGTTCTACAGGCAATTTAAGAAACCTTGACCTAAGGGTACCCCAGGAGTTACAAACACACACACACACATAAAAATCTTTAAACTCTCATTGGGATATTGAACAGTTTTTAAAATATAAAGTCCATGACCTGAAAAGCACAGATGTTCTAAGAAAATCTCAAACATTTAATTTTCTTGGTTGTGAGCTAAACAGAGAGCAAGGCCTGTTTATAATTTGTTTAGGGCTTTACGGCATGATGAGATGAAGACAGAAACACAAAGCTCCTTCTGGTTCCTGGGTCTAAACATTCTGTACCTTCTTGCTTGACCCAATGTACTAGGCTGTATGGTGTGTCCCCAAAACACGTGTCCTTCCCAGCACCTCGGAATGTGACTTTCTTTGGCTGTTGCCATCCACATCTTTGTGGATGTAGTGAAGATCACGTCCTACTGGACATGGAGTCGGCTGGGCCTACATCCACTGTGTACTTAGGAGGAGCGGGGAAGACAGGGGAGGAGATGCAGAAGCAGAGGCACACAGTGGACAAAGCCATTGATGACACAGGAAGAGACTGGAGGGATATAAGTCTACAAGCCAAGGAACACCAGTAATACCACAAACCAAGAGAAAGACATGCAACTGATCTACCGCTGAGCCTTTAGAGAGAACGCAGCATTGCTAACACCCTGGTTCTGGACTTCTAGCTTCCAGAACTGGGAGAGAATAAACTGATGTTGTTTCAGCACCCCAGTCTGTAGTCATCTGAGGGGGCAGCTGCAGGAGACAGTCCACCCAGCCTCCCTTCTGGACCCCAGCAGCAGGGTAAGAGGCCCTGCACCCAGCTCCAATCTCTAGTCCTTTATGGGGCTTCGTTCCGTGAACAGTCTGTGAGGAACAGAGTGTGAAGGAGACAATGCTGGGGGCCTTGAAAGCTGAGCTCAGATGTGTTCATTTCTTCTGTAAAATTCATCCCTATCCAACCATCTTCAATAGCTTAAGTGCTTAGGTCCATAATTCATATTCTCTAATGTGGGCCTATTTAAATACTGCTATACATTGTTTTGCAGAAGGATTTTTTGGGTGTGCTTGTTGCAACACCTGTGAGTGGTGAGGAGAGAACTGGGCAGAGGAGGAAGTTGAATCATGATGCAATTGCAACACCAGCCCCAGCAAACTGACTCTACAAAGAAAGAGCTCAGGAGCTGAATAGCCTTTTGGAGTTTGCCCAACTGAGGCTAAGAGGCCAAGCCTTTGCATCCCCCTTCCCTAAGACCAGCCACTGGCTGCAGGCTGCTCTCACGGAGGACCCACAGCTTTGGCAAGCCAGCTTCCATCAGCGACAATTTCCAGTGATGGATGCAGGGGTAGTGAGTGCCTGGGCCCTGCACAAGGATCTAGAAGGTGGGCTGTAGCACCCCTGCCCAGCATGTACTATGGAAGCTTTTTCATCTAATCATCATCCGTTATTAGAATGTGGCCACATGAGATCCTATACCTGGGCTGGAACTGTGTTATGCTGGGCAAGAATCCATCAGATGCTCCCAAATCATGTAAATAGGGACATGTCTGAAAGTTCTCAGTGCTGTGATCTCATGCGTAACCCTCGCCCCCACCCCATGTTTTCCAACGCCACCCTTCAACTCTCCATTCAGACTGGCTCACACCACATTTGGACCACAATAATTCTCCTTTTCTGCCACTCACAGGCTGAGAGGGCTCCCACCGGACTGCCTGGAAATCTCTGTTCTGTCACGTGCTCAATTATTTATTCACCCATTCATCACTCATCATACATCTTTAACACCTACTTTCTATTAAACCAGGTTCTGAAAATTAGAAACCGAATGAGGAGACTGTAAAAGGCCTACATGTCCTGAGAAGAGGTGGGGTTTCATCTAGACATAATGAAGACATTGGGAAGGATCAGGAGCAGTTCTGAGGCTGGAATACGTCGGTGGCGGAAAGACGGATTGCTGCCGGACCCAATGCAAGGGAGCAGCTTGCAGGCAGGGAATTTGAACACCGGCTGACTCACCCACCTTCTGCCCTTTCTCTAAGGCTAAGCCCCACGGGGCCGCCAGGCACGTGAGCGGTGTTGCCAAGAAGCATGTAGACAGCCTTCTTGGGTGGGAGTTACTCGAGTTACTCTCCAAAGCCACAAGCAGCCCATGGGGCCCAGTCACATGCCTTTGTATGTGCAAACACACCGTGTAGGTGACCCCAGACAGCGAGGACTCAGTGTGAAGCATGCAGCTGTCCACACATGCCTCTAAGAAGTGTGCCCCCAAAGGATACATCATCCTTTTGTTTTTGCTTTTTCCCTCAACAGCCTCAACAGCTTTGGACCAGTCTCTGAGAGCTACAGTAAATCTCTCTGTGGGTGGGACTTCCATGTTCAATACAAATTATGGCCCTAAGTACATAACCTAGCAAAAGAGACTATATCCCAAAGAAACAAAAGCAGGAATTTTTTTTTTAAAATAGCCAACTATAGACTGGAAAACAGAAGGGAAAATATCATATTAATAACAATTATTTGAAGGTAATAGCTTATGTTCTTTAATGCAGTTCCAACATAAATGTCACTGTAAGGAATGATATTTCATTTCAATACTAACAAATCAGGTACTTCATGTGCTGGGGGAGAAGTGATTGGAACGACTTTAAAGCCACGTTAACCAGACAAACTGCAAAAATATTTATATTCTTATGAAGGAAGGAAGGAGTGCCTCTCATGGGCATATTTAAGTATCCTCCATCTTTGGAATAAATGGTAATGCTAAACAAAGAATGGAAAGATGACCTTACAATAATAACCTCAGGACTCAGCTGGGAGTCAGCTTCTCCATGTACAAAAGCCATTTACAATATGTTCAGGATGGAAATTTCTACACTGTTCTATAGCTCACAGAGTTCACTATATTCCTCAAACAAAAATCACCAAAACACCCAACTCTGGGCCAGCTTCCTTCCTGGGGGGCGTTGCCCCCCCAAATATAAAATTACTCAGCATCCTCTCTCCTGCTCACTCTCTGCAGTTCTGCTCAGTCATTCAACCACATTTAGAAGGACAGAAAACCAAAGGGAGAGAAAAACAACCCATTTGCAGAGGCGTTTAATACTGAGAATGGGACCATTAAAGCAGAACAATGTCTAGCACGGGGAGGGCTTCCTTTAACCTGTTCCTTCTCCACATAGAAAACGTCTCAGAGCAAATGCTGAGCTGAAATTGGAAAGCCGTCCCTTTGGGCAAGACTCGTTCAGTCTCTGTCCTTTCCAACAGCCACTATGTATGGCTAGTGGAAGACGGAGAGTTGGTGAGGGCCTAGCCCTGTGAGTCACTTAGGTTTCAAACAACCGCTGCAAAGGACTTGGAGTTTCCAGCTGATTTATTGTGAATGGCACTGATACTTATGGGACTAGAAACTGGAACTTGAACTGGCACTGGAAGGAACAAAGTCCATGAAAGTCACCAGTCCAATAAGTCTGTGATGGATACACAGAGCTGTCTTTTAACCAAGTAGCTGGCCCCTTTCCATCAAGAGATATACAGCTAGAGAGGCACAAGTCTATATAGCTTTAAGGCCTTAGAGACACAATATTCCAGGCTTATTCTTTTTGCAATCCTATGGGCTTTAAATATCAAGAGAGTAAACAGATTCCGGATCATATGATATCCAAGGACATTCATATATGCATCTCTTTTGGCCTTTACAAAAACCTTGTATAGTACAGAGGAGAGGAATCTTTATTAATATCTGCATTTGATACGGGCCCATCTACAGGTAAGTAGCTCACAGCCCTGCTGGGAGGTTGGAGAGTGAGGCCTTTGGACACCCAATCCCACGCCCGTCCACTGACCTCCCCCTTCTCACTCCGCATCGATGTTAATGTGGGTAAGTAAGGATTAATACAGCTGAATGAGTCTGCCCAATGATTAATTAATAAAAAACAAATCTTTCGAGCGACCGATTAGACTAATTGGCTATACAACAGAACTAATGGCTCGAAACGGGCGGTTCGGTAGCACTGGGTCGAAAACCCCCTTCGGCTGGGTGGAAAGTCAGACTGTGTTCATCGCCTGTCGCTCCCCTGAGGCCCCTTGATAGCGAACAGATTTCCACAAGCACAGGGCTGTGTCTGCGCCAAGAGTTTCCTGGCTGTTCCAGGAGAGAATCAAAGCCAACACAATGAGCTTCAAGGCAAGTGAATTCCAGGTATTCTGGGGGCTGAATGGAAGTCAGCAAGGAGCAGCCTGTCAGTTTGCCTAACAAATTTTTTAAAAGCCTACCATGCTGGCACTGGCACAAACGTCTCTTGTTCACCTCCCCTCCCAGGGAGCGGGCAGAGCGGCTGGAACAGCCGCTGCAGCAGTGCCCCGGCTGCCTGTGCAGTTCACAGAGCTGTGGGAGGAACGTGATTTCCACGAGCCCTCTCACTCGACACTAGTGCACGCGTCCCAGAGCCACTCGTCTTGGGGAGGCGCTGGGGAGATGCACATCACGCACAGGCTTCCCTGCGCCCTGGATGGAAGGTAGCAGAGAGCTGCCCACTGAGAGGAGCACAGAAGACAGAAACACAGTCCTTAGATACATAGACAACATCTATATGCCAACCTACGTCCTTCATGATGCACAGGGGACTAGTCAGTCTACTCGTTGTAAAATGTTCCTGTGCATGTAACAGCACCAGGCAGCGGCTCCATAAAAGCTGGGGGTGCATGTCAGCGGGAGGCACCCTGCTGCTTGTTGGCAAAGGCAGATGACTGACAAACAAAATCAGCAGGCATGCCCGATTTGCTTCCAGGATCAACACAGACGACGCTGCCAGTGAAGGCAGCCACTGAACTAGTTCTTCTGCAAGATCAGAGAGCAAGGCCAGAGAGCCCCTCGCCCGCCACTGGAGAGACATGCTGCTGGACAGAAAGACTGGGTATCCCGAGGCCCCACCTACCTTGTAGGGGCCCTGGTTGCAGCCACAGTAGCTGCTCTCCATGGTGTAGCTTCTGGACACCCCCATCTCTCTCCACACCACTACCCGGGCAGTAGAGGCTCGAGATTTCTCCACGACGAAGCTGCAGCTGCTCATTGTGAAGGCTGGTGCTAGCTTATCAAGGATTTTGGGAAGAGTCTACAATTAAAAACAAAAAAAATCAAATTACCATAAGCTGCAGGTGACTGGGGATATGCCATCATAAAAACTGACTTCTCAATGTTCATTAAGCATCAATACAGCAGACACTTATCGTATGCTACCACAAATCTGGTATCAACCCTAAGACATGAATATCATTTTAAAAATCATTTTAAATATGAGGTCACTGAGACTTAAAAGGGCTCGAAAGAAACAGATACTGAGTCTCCTTGACAACTCCAGAGACTATGATCTTCCAGCTTTGTCCTTCTGCATTGCTGTGGACAAGTGCTACAAACAGATGTTCGGCCTCATACACGACAGACATGGGCCCAGTGGGAAGCCACAGACTGCACAGGGACCTATGTTTACAGCCTCACTGTGTTCAAGCTCTAAGGGCCGAACTAAGAACTGTGCACTTACCTCAGTCATGTGGGCTCTTGATGACTCTTGAACAGAAACACTTGTTTCCTGAGAGACTGTAACTGCCAGAATGAGCTCTTCAGTCTCATCCTCTGGTCCATACATCTCAAGCTGGACCAATTATAAAACTCCTAAAAATCCGTTACTCTTTGCATTCATATATACCATTTTTTTCCTCCCTAGGATAGAAAGCTTTAGGTGAGACCACTAAGTCTCCATTTAGAAGGCATCTGGCCTAGCTGGGTGGCTCAGTTGGTTAGAGCATCAACCCAGCAGGCCAAGTTTTTGGTTCAATCCCTGGTCAGGGCACATGCAAGAAGCAACCACTGAATGCATAAATAAATGAAACAATGAATCAATGTTTCTCTTCCTCTTCTTCCTCTCTCTCCCCCCTCCCCCTTTCTGCCCTCTTTCCTCTCTCTAAAATCAATTTTTTTAAAAAGGCATCTGTACAGCCTTGCCACTCCCAGAACGACAGAGAGGGGTTGCAGCCAGCAGACCCCCAGGAACAAAGACTCCCCTTCCCTTCAGAGACAGATACTGAGTTTGCACACCAAGACTCTGGGTCAGCACAAGTCCTGCACCAAGACAGCCCGAAATGCCTGCGACAGTAACAGGAAGGGTTTTCGCAGTTCAGTGTTGACAGGATCTCCACAGACCAGCACATATTATAAAGTTACGTACATTAGATAACAAACAGCAAAACTTTAGGTTTTTTGGACAAATTGCAGGAAGAAGGTAGAGGTAGAGAACATATTGATGACAATATAAATTAAGAAATCATTCTTTTTAAAGAAATGGGGTTTTGGTCATTTCTAGGACATTGAGCAAAGCTCTTAATATCTCTGGTCCTTCCTGTCTTCATGCTTAAAAGAAGCATGCTAATTATATCAATATAAAAATGAATATAACTGTTAATTATAGTAATATAAAGGTTAATATAATTGTTAATTATATCCATGTAGAGATTAATGTAATTGTTAATTATACTATAAAGTACATATGACAGATAAGTACACATTAACATAATTACTACCAGAGTTTACTGTGATCTCCGAGTTCCTGCATCCTCGAGGCCCACAGTGTCATCTGAACAAGGGGAATGAGATGCTGACGCTCTCATCTGAGTCTCTGCAGTGGCCTCCTCATTGCTTTCTTCTGTCCACTCTCGTCCCCTTTCGTGTGATCCCACTGCCCCAGCTTCCCTACAAAATGTTCATCACAACTCCCATTCAACTGCTGTTTATGTAACCACGTGTCTAGTTTCTACCTTGCAGCCTAGATGCTCCACAAGGGCAGGTCTTTGCCTTGTTCACATGAAATCTGCACGTGAGGCCACGCTGCTCAGAGAAGGCACATCCAGATCCTGAGGGGACTGGTTAATAGGCATAAATAAACTATTCGTAGACACTACTTCTTTGTGACAGCATGGGTGGACCTGGATACTATTATATTAAGTGAAATAAGCTAGTCAGAGAAACACAAATACCATGTGACAAATACCAATATATCATTATTTGTAATTATTATATACATATCCCAAGAAAAACTCACTTCTTGTGGCCCTTACTCAGTTTCTAAAAGCACCTTCAGAACACTTGTTAAAGACTGCTCAGGAGCAGACGGCTGGAACTGTGACCCAGACTCTGCCTAGACACTCAATACCACACGCATCTGAACACAGGGGTCACGGGGCCCAACAGGTCAGGGCCAAGAGTCCAGTTAGTTCCCCCAGGTATCTGCTGAATGACTCCAAAGAAACTCCTCGGCCTCCCTGAGCCATAGGGCCCCTCACCTGTAAAATGGGAGAATTCACACCTCCCTGTGAGCGTTCTTAGAAGGAGTAAATAAGAGGACGCATACACAAATGAATCTTCTGCATCCCAAGAGACCCCAAATCCCACTTGTCCGATGCAGCGGAATCAGGCACAGCCATAACAGGTGGGGGAGGATGCTGGTTCAGTAATTCTGGTTTCAAGGCACCCTGTAGAAGCCCAAATGGCCTTTTAATTCATCTGCTTTCTGCAGACTCTTGTCAGCCCTGTCTGGTTTCCCATATTAAAAAAAGATAACTGTGGTTATAGTTTTGAAATCGTGTAAGTATTAAAATCATGTAAGGTAAGTCTTTATTCTTCTCTTGTAAAATCTCTTTGGCAATTCTAATTCTTTTGCCTTTTCACATAATATCAACAAACGTGCCTGCTGAGATTTTGATAGAAATTGTATTCCATCTACGGAAAAATTCGCTAAGAATGACCACCTTTAAAACATCGAGTCTTCCAACCCACAGACTTGGTGTATTTCTCTACATATTTAGGTCTCTTTAAATTCCCCCCCAATAATGTTTTGTAGTTTTCAGTGTAGTTTTCCATTAATTTCTAGTTGAATTAATCTTTTCAATATTATATTATGGCAAACAGATTTTTTTTGGTCTTAATTTCATTTCTGGATTGTTCATTGCTGGTACAGAAATAAAATCAACTTTTATACTGACCCTGCTAAACTGGCTTGCTAGTCCTAGCAGTTTATTTTCTAGATCACTAAGAATGTTCTAAATAAAATACTATATCACCTGTGAATAAAGACAGTTCTGCTTTTTTCCCCAATCTTTCTCTATTTAATATTTTTGTGTCTTATTGAACTAAAACATCCAGTAAAATGAACAGAAATGGTAAAAGCACTCTTGCCTTGTTCCTGACCTTATGGGGAAAACAGTCTATGAGACATTTCTAAATGCTGAATTCCAGGCTGAAGAATTCCCTTTCTGTTCCTAGTCTGTTGTGAGATTTTATTTTGAATGAACATTTAACTTTGTCAAATGCTTTTTGTAATCTGTTGAGATAATGATGTAGTTTTTTCCACTTGTGTATTCACAAGGAGTAGAAGAGTATTTGACTTTTTATGTTAACATAATCTTACATTCATGACATACACCCCACTCTGTCACAGTGGGTAATGATTTTTGTACACAGCTGGGCTGACTTGCTAATACTTTGTAAAGGATTTTTGGATAGCTGTTTGTGAGCGATATTGGCTTTACTTTCTTGTGATACCTTTTCTGGCTTTAATATCAGAGTAATTCAAGACTTAGAAAATGAGTTGGGAAGTGTTTCTATGCTTTTTTGAAAGAATTTCTTTACAATCAGTATTAGCTATTTCTGGATGATTTTGACAGAATCCACCACCAAGTCATTTGGCTGCATTGTATCTGTGAGAGGATTTTAATTACTGACATGACTCACTCATCATACAAACAACGGGTTGTACTGGATACCAGGTCCTCTCGAGTCCGTTTTGGCAATGTGGGTCTTCTCCAGAATCTGTCCATTTGTTGGCACAGACATTGTTAGCAGTATTCTTTTATATTTTGGAAGGTTGGTAGCCATGTCCCCTTTCATTCATAATTTTGGCAACTTGTGTCTTCTTTCTTTCCTTAGACAGAGATTGGCTAAAGGGTTATCATTTTTTTTAACCACTTCAAGAAGCCAAACTTGGATTCATGGATTCCCTATAGTGTGTACATTTCCTATGTTACAGATATAGTTTTGTTTTGTTTTTTTCTTTCTTTCCATCAAGATAGGCCCTTCAGACTCACCCTGTAGCTGACATCTTCCAAGAGAGCAGATGCACCCACAGCGGACTCTGCCTGCCACAAGGTCTCCTTGATGCTACAGCCATAGAGGAACACATTCTTCTTTTGGGAGTGGCCATGGAAGTCACAGAAGACCTACAAAGGCCAAGCAAAGAAAACAGTCAATCCAGGTCACATCTATTGATTTCTTAGGAGTTTAAAATGTCACCTTTCTCAGGTAGATACTGTTCACCAAGCAGAATCAAAGACAGTGGCATCATTCTCGACTTTGGTGAGAGTTGTGTTGATCACATTACTGGGGAAAAGGTTAGATCTGAAGGGGTGTAGGAATGAACAGGATGTGAGGAAATACACTTGTGGCAGGAGAAGACACAGGGTTAAAACTAGAAGAGGAAATAGAAACAAAAGCCTTTAAAAAAAGATTTTATTTATTTACTTTGAGAGAGAGAATGAAAACATCAATATGACAGAGAAACATCGATTGGGCGCCTCTTGTACATGCCCCAACCTGGGACCAAACCTGCCACCTGAGCGTGTGCCATGACTGGGAACTGTGAATCGGTAACCTTTCGCTTTCTGGGATGACACCCAACCCACTGAGCCACACCTGTCAGGGTAGGCCAGAGCTTTTTTTTTTTTAATGAGCAATTTATATGATTTTAAAAATCCACAGGAAATATGCATTTAAAATCTTCAGAATATTTCCTCTCATTAAGGAAGCCAGTTACCTTCTGCCCTTACTGACAGTTTAACACACCTAGAATTCACTCCAACATGCATTGCTCAGGTTCTGATGATATATATTAGCAAAGTCTTGCAATTTCTTTGGTGTGCAAGCTACTTCCTGCTGAGCCAGAGTGTATACTTATCTTCCAGGACCACACTTATCTTTGATCCTATTTATGAGATCTGGGGGTAAACAGGGTTGTTCTGACAAATCAAAAAAAAAAAAAAGCATCCTCTTTGGAGGCATTTTCCTGGGTGAGTCTGTCATAGGGCGTTTAAGCAGAGGAGGGCTGGTCTCCCCAGACAGTGTGTCACTGCTGAGTGAGGCTCGAATAACTAGGGGTTCCAGATCGTCTGTTCCATTTAGGCACGATCACACGCCCCCATTCCAAGTTCCAGACCTCAGTATTTGCAAGTCAGTTCCTAACATTCCTGTGAGACACTGCAATTGTCAGTGTAATTGGTTCTCAGCAATACCAGGCCCTGTGATTATAGGAAATCAGATATTCTTTTATGACTATCACAGACGTTCTTTCATTCTCAAACAACACATTGAGTTGAAAGTTTACGAAAATCTAATCTTGTCATTTTCTTTGTGTAACCACTCAATGAATTAAAAAATCTAAGGGCTTATAGTCCTCATTACTGCCATAATGATCAGTTGTAGTAGCCATTGGGTGCCCGAGGCACTTACTGAGTTGACACTTCATTAAAATCATCCACGGATGGCTGCTTAATTAATTGTGATGTCATCGCATGGCACGCATTACCAGCACCCCCCTTACCAGTGGCCAGTGCTGATCCCAAGAACATGATCAAACTCACGACCCAATCCCATCTTGCTAAATACATCGACACAGAATGGAGAGGTGACCCAATTTTTAAATAGGCAAAAGATCTGGAATCAATGTTTTACAAAAGAGGATGTCCAAATGGCTATCAAGCAAATGAAAGTGGATGGCTTGACCTCATTAACAACAAGGAAATACAATTTAAACACCATGACGTACTGCTACTGCCTCTCATGGGACTGATAAAGTCACAGAGGCAGACAACACCCAACGCTGACCAGGACAGGCAGCAGGGGAGCTCCTGGACCCAGCTTGTGGGACTATCAGCTGATACCACTTCTCCGGACAACAAATTGGGAGTGTCTTCTGATGCTGAATGTATACATTTTCTAGAACCCTTCCAAAAGAAATGTGTACATTAGGTCCCAGAAGATGCCAAGAATGTACCTAGAAGCACCACTGTTACTAGCCTAAGACTGTAAACAGTAGGATAGATTAGTTAACCGTGGCATCATGATTCAACAGAACGCTCTCCAGCACTGTAAATGACAGAACAAGCTAGACAGAAAAGAATACATGTACCTGATTTCCTCTATATGATGTTCGAAACTAGGCAAAATGAATATGGCGACAGAAATTAGGGGCACATGTATGGTTTTGGGGGGTAGTATTGCCTGGTGTCTCTGGGCAGCTGATAGTGTTCTTTTTCTTAATTTGGTGGGGGATTACATGGCCAGTTCAGTTCCCAAGGCTTTGTAGAGCTGTGTGGCTATGACCGCATATGTGAAACGGACATGTGCTACAATGCATCTGTGTGCTTCGCAGAGAATGAAGTCCTAGTATTTTAATGAGGTATTTCCTCACATTTGTTCCTCAGTGTCTACAAGTACAGCCTTTGTGTGTTGGGTGAAGGGCAAAGGTACCTGTCAAAGGTACTGACTATACGGAATTGAGGACTAGTGGTAGCAGAGTAAACCTATTGGAGTGGAAATTAGAAGTGGCAAAAGGAATAGAATGAGCAGGAATAGAAACCCATAAGTGGGAGCAAGAGCAATATCCTACAGTTGGGTTCAAGGAGTGACACGGTGAAGGACTGAGACATGGAACTGAGAAGCAGATTTGGAATGACAGATCTGAAGGTTCTGGATGGCAGTCTGTTCAAAATGAATCAGTGGCCACAGCTGTCAAAAATTAATGATTACTCCAACCATAAATTGCCTCTGCAGAAGTAAAGTGAATATATATTAAGAGAACAACCAGTTCAATGTACCTCACACCAGTCAATTTATATCTACATAGTGTTTTCCATTTATGAGTGTGGCATTTAAGAACAAACTAGGAAACCGCAGTAGAGAGGAGCCAGAAAGCCAAGAAAAGTAAGAATATCTGTAAACTAAAACCAGCTCATGATACCTGATGACCCTGGAGATGTTTATCCTAGAAAAGAGAAGGCTCCAAGGATCCTGACAGCATTCCCTCCAAATTTCCAAATTTCCCTTTGGAACACGTAAATGTATTTGCTACCATCTCAAAGAGCAGAGGAAGGCCAAGAAAAGGGGTAAGAGGGACATCGATTCCAGCTTCATACTAAATTCAATAGTTGCTGAATATCTATTACTGGCAAGCAGTAACTTTCTATGGTCATTTCTGTCTTGCAATGCTGTGCCACACTTCAAAGCACTTTCGTTTCCAGAACTATCTCAGCAGAAGCCAGCTAACTCGCCCTCCGTGATGCTGCTGGCGGAGTGGTCAGACTCAGATGAGGCGGGGCCTACTTTCCAGAATTCAATGAAGTCCTGCAGCTCCTTCATTAACCAGGAAGCTGTTGGCAGCAGGCAAGGAGCCCAGGACAACTGGGTGCATGCAGGGAATCATAAAACAAACACATGTAAGGGGAAAATGAAAGGACAAATGCGTGGAAGGTCTGCTCGGGCAGAACAGGAGAAGACGAAGACCTAGTCTTTGAGGGCAAACTGGAGCTGGCAAACCCCATTGCTCTGCTGGGGGACGAACATGAGTAGGAAGGCCTCGCAGATGTCAGGGCCAGTTTCTGGAATCACGGGGGTTGCAGACAGGAACACTGATTGAGCAGAAGGGAGCAGGTCGGTGTTTGGACAGACAAATGCCTGTGAGACAAGGGTTTCAAGGACTAATGGACTTGAAATTGTTCTCTGTTTACCTCACTCCCCCCTTCACTTAATTGTCATTAGTAATGAACCACTATTATATTCAGGGGAATTTTTAAACTACATTGTAAATTCTCCATGAGCCGGAAAGTCCTTTTCAAGCGTATTTTCTCTTCAGTAAAAAAATGAACATAGTTTATGTGATATTGTTAAGTCATAGTTTTAAGTCAAAATCATATGAGAAAATAAGTCTCCCCAGCTTCCCACTACCACTGAGTTGTGAGTGTTGGAGCTGAAATGTTATTGGAATTGGGAGGAGGGAGTTGGTCCAGTGACAAGCCAAACCACACAGAAGACAGACAATGGCAGTGGGGACACAGTGAACAAGCAGAATGAGTTGTTCTGTAAAGGGTGGGGTAGTTCAGCAACTGCGGAAAGAGAGAGCAGAAAACAGAAAATGCAGCCACAGAAAGAGAAACGGGACAGAAAGGACCATCCGGGATACTGGTCCTTTGCAGTTTCTGTAACGCCTTCTGGACTTCCTTCCTTCAAAACTCTGCATCTTACTACCTGGGTTGCCTGAGTGGGATTCTGCTCTTTCTGATAAATACACCCCCAGGCCACTGCGTCTGCATCCATCTGCAGACTAGAATGTCCCGAGGAGACTTTAAAAATATCCATGCCGGGGGCCCACCTCCGGAGATCTTGATTTAATTGGTCTGCAGTCATACCAGGACTGTGGGGTTTTAAACCATTTTCCAGGTGATTCTAACGTATGGCCAGGGCTGAGAACCACTCTTCTGATCTGGAGTCTAGATCAGTGGGTCTCACATGTGATCGCCTGTCAGAGTAAATTGTCAGAATAAGTTGGAGGACTTGTTAAAGTGTGGATGGTGAGCCACACCCCTGAAATCTGTGAATCGGGTAAGTCTGGGTTAGGCCCGGGAAAGGGAACTTCAAACAATCCCCAGGGGTGAAGATGCCCCTGGTCCCAGGACCGAGCTCCGAAAGCCTCTAGTCTAGGGGAACCAAGGAGATGATTGAGGATTAATCCTCTACCATCATGAAGTCTCCACCCACCTGCCTCCCTTACCTCTGTTTCTCTTGGTGAATTTAGCAACTACCATTCATAGGAAAAGTCTGCAAACAAATTAAGGCTGTGTCTTAGCAACAGATTTGTCAATAAAGCCAGAAGCTACACCAACATAGTGACAGGTGCTCCTTGAATGCTGAACTCAAATGGGAAAAAAGAGTTATTTTTTTTCCTGATCCTTACAGACTCTGAAAGCTGAGGTGAGTGACAAATTACAGACCTAGTCACCTGTGAGAATGACCGTGGCTTTGCCCAGGCAGTTCTGGTGGCCTCTGAGGATTCAAAATACAGGGGGTGAGACACAGTTCTGCTTGTTGCTCAACTGACATCCCTAAAAATAAATGCCTGTTAATTATATAAAACATGTGTTCCTCTGAATTGTAGGAGGCAATTACAAGA